GGGGGAGGGAGGATTATTGGTTAACAACCGGTTAGAAGTAAGCACTTATGGGAGTGTAACAGCCATAATTATTTATACACCAAGCTAAAAGAGAAATCTACGCGGTATATCCATGGGAAACACCAGTTAACTTCATATACCTTTAAAATATTTATTTTACCTTGTACACCTATTTTATAAAACTTTTACTTTTTAAATCTTTAATATCATTATATACCATTAAACAAATCTCACATTTTAAGGAACTAAATTATCTCTCACTCCCTTAAAACACTCCATCATCCCANGTTTTAAGGAATTGGGATTATACTTACCTTCTCACCAAAAAGTTCAAACCACACTAATTTCTCTAAGTCCTTCATCGTTTTTTTCTTCTCTTCCATCTAAATCAAAAGAAAAACAAAAATAAGGTGAAAATGTTTTAACTTGGGATACATTATCTAAACTAAAATAAAACACTAGAACATACTATTCAAACTAATACACCACAACATCCTAATAAAAAATATAATGCTTGAATTAAACAAACTACAATATTCTAATTTGGAATACAATATTTAAATCGAACATACCACAATATTCTAATTTGAAATACAATATTTAAATTAAATATATCGCAATATAGTATTCAAATCAAATATACCACATCTAATTTAATATACAATATTCAAACCAAATATATCAAATTACAATAGTTTAATGAAGAATATAAAATTCAAACCAACATACCAAAATATTCTAATAAAGAATACAATATTTAAACCAAACACATCACAATATTCTAATTTAAAATCCATATTCAAACCAAACATTACATATTCAAACAAACATACCACAGTATTCTCATTTGAAATATAAAATTCAAATCAAATATACATTTATTTTTATTTGTTGTGTGTAATTTATTTTACTTGTAATATCAACATGCTATATATAATACTAGTATACAATATTCTAATTTGGATTTTTTTTTCTTCCATTCATTTCTATTAAGATTATTCAGCCCATGATGTCAACTTTGGTTACACCACTAATAGAAATGAATGGAAGAAAAAAAGAAAAAAAAAAACTGGAAAAGATGTTAAAAATAATCTTGAAAATATTTATTTTGTATAATCTTCCTTTGGTTAACTTTTTTTCTTTTTGGTGTAATACAGAAACGTGTAGGATTCTTGCCGATAACAGAAGGGGAGATTCAATTAGCAATGGCAGCTTCTTAACAAGAAATGGGAACAAAATAGACTATTTTAAATAGTAATTCGTTCTATAGCTTCTCTAGTTTATTTTGTATGATGCTGACATGAGTCGAGCACTCGAGCTTAAATGGAGAAGTGAAAATTTATATAGCCGATCCTGATTTATGTGAGGCTGAGGTATAGTTATTGTTGTTGTATAGCTTAATTATCTAGTTGGTCTCAAAATTCACTGGCAGACTTCTCAGCTACTTATTAGTGCTAATCATGTATTAGTCATTTTGTATAATAAAATTAAGAAGTTGAGAATGAGATTATTTGTCTGTTGTGATATATGTGAGATGGCTTTGAAGATATACTTGTAGCAATTAAGGACTAATTATTTGTTTCTTCATTCTTATCTGACCTTGAATATTGCAATTTGCATGATCTCTTTTAGGGTGTGAACGTACTAAGCTAGCGTTTGGACATAGATTTAGTTGAAACTTGAAAAAATAATTTTTGAAGTAGTTTTGAAAAATAATTTTTGGAAGTTGAAATTATGTTTAGACATGCATTTTATTTGAAAGGCAAAATACATAATTTACCCATTGACCTTGTACCTAAATCCCTGTTACACACCTCTCGATCACGGGCAACCTTTTACACACCCAACCTTTTAGAAGTGTGTCTAATACACACTACTTTTTTCTTGACCAATTTTCCAAAACATGTATAATTTTACGCTCCAATCAGATAGTGACACGTGTCATTAACTTATTAAAAAAAGGAAAAACCTTTAAATTATAATTAGATCCCATCTTGTTCATTAAATCCATCACCATGGCTGCCTTCTCTTCGATCGGCCACCGTCAAATCTTGCCTTCCATCTCCGACCACTATTCTTCAATCAAAATCAGCTATGTGAAGTTCTCTACTACCAGCGCAACATCATCCCTAATCTCACATCTCAATTAAAATTATTTTTCTTTCACTCTAAAAGAATCCCATAATAATAATCTGGATTAACTTCTTTAAGTAAGAAGGCCTACACATTTACTGTCGAACTTATTATCTTTCTGCTAAAATCTTTAAATTCCATTTTATTCTTCATAAAAATCAAGGATGGCAAGAACCACCATAGAGGGCAGAGGAGGACTGTCCCTGGCGGCCAAGGCGGTGGCTGAACTAAAAAAGAGTTGCAGAGAGCAGTGAAGGCTCTAATTGAAGACAACATCGACCATAGATTCACCTTCTCATCAACCAATCTCCATTAATTTGGAGACACCCAAAAGATCTCTCTTCCAAAAAACACTATCTCTCTCTACCTTTAAAATTTCATACGCCATCAAGCTTCATTATTGGACTCTTCACAAGAAAACAAACAAAGGCCGGTCTGGAGATATGGGGGATTGTGGAATACAAACATGGGATAACTTTTTGTTTCGTTGAAGAATGAACAAAACAAAGTAAAAGAAAAAGGTATAAAAGAAAGAAAAGAAAAAGGAAAATCAATTTGAATCGTTAGATAAATTTTGTTAGATTTGAATCGTTCAAATAAAACATCAGATATATATTTTTGTTTCTTCACACGCCTTATTTTGTTGGTAAAACACGCGTTGGCCACGTAGGCAAAGTAGTGTGTATTAGGCACACTTTGGAAAGGTTGAGTGCGTAAGGTAATTTTCGTCCGCAAAAAGTGTGTAACAGGGATTTCGTCCATAATTCAGGGGGTAACTTATGTATTTTTCCTATTTGAAAGAAATTTAAAGTTTTATGAGTGGGAGAACAAGTTTCACCCAAAATCTACCCTAAACTAGATTTTGGGAACTTGAAAAATAATTTCAGAAATTTTTCAAAAAAAGATCATTAATCTATGAACAAACAATGTTTTCAAAAAATTTTTGAAAAAACGTTGCCAAAATATATGGCCAAACGGGGCCTAAGAAACTAGTAAAAAAAAACTTATATTTACGTTTTGGTGGGACGAAGATGCATCAAACTAATGAATAAACAAAAAGCGCTTTTTAGTGGCGAAGTATTAAGTTGCCACCGAAGTTTGTAGTGAAATATAGGGTCGCTATTTCAATTGCCAACATTGTGGGTCCATCCTATTTAACAATAGGCATGTGCCTATAAAACTTTGCTCGCAACTTTTTCTTGGAGCCAAAGTTTGTAATAAGTGGAGGAGATTAATACATCTCCTGTAGCATTTTTGGAGGCTCCGTATTTTGTTTCTATAAATGGAGGAGCTCTCTCACTTCTTCAAACACACCAAAAAAGCATAGAGAAGTAACAGAAGTTAGAGAGAGTTATCCATAGATCGTGGTCTGTGAGATAAATAATGAGTGTGAGTAATATTGTTATGAGGTATTTAAAATAAAGAGTGTTATTTCTTTCGAAGTTGTAGTAGTCTCTTGACACTACTAAGTTGTAATATTATAGTGGTATTGCTCCTCTCGGGTATTGTATTTTAACCCGTTAAAAGATTTGGTGTCTTTGATACTCTCTTGTGTTATTGTTATTTATCGTGGATATTATTCCTGGGCGGGATATTATTATAAATTTGGCCATTACTCTTGGAAATGTCGTAGCAATGTTGAAGAGAAAGCTAACCTTGTTGAGAACAAGAAAGAAGAAGATGAGTCGACATTATTGTTGGCACTCAAGGAAAAAGATAGGGATGATTGTAGCTCGTGGTATTTGGACAATGGAGCAAGCAATTATATGTGTGGATGCAAAGAGAAGTTTGTGTATATCAATAAGATGGTGAGAGGTAATGTGTCCTTTGGAGATACCTCAAAGATTCAAATCGAAGCAATAGGTACGATTATGATCTCCTGTAAAAATGGTGGCCACAAGTTAATTCAAGATGTTTATTATGTGCCAAAATTAAAAAGTAATATTTTGAGCTTGAGACAACTTCTTGAAAAGGGCTATAATATCAATATGAACTAGAACTCAATTACAAATTCGGATAACAACGCAACATTCAAACAACTGAAATACAATAAGAAACACTGGAATGTAAAAGTAGCTAATAATAAAGATAAGAAGGGGATGAGAACTTAGACTCAGAGAAAGGGGGTCGAGAAGAAGCAGACACTTTTCTTCACAATACGCATGCCTTCTCCCTCGCACAATCTGATAATTATAAGACCATATTTCCTCTAGCCCAGTAACTCTTCGACACGTGTACCTCAACCCGGGTCCCAATGGTAAACCAAAGACCTTATTTTGGGTTGTTTAATCATTTGACCCCAGTGTAAAATATTCCCAGGCCCAAGTGCCTTAGTTTCTTCGGCCCCATTCATAACAATATTCACATAAAAAATATGCATATTTGGCTTAGAGATTCAAGTAAAATTCTAATTGCTAAAGTGCATTTGACAAAGAATAGATTATTTTCTCTGAATCTTAGAACAATTGATGCAAAGTGTTTGAAGACTAATGTGCAAGATGAATCATGGTGTTGGCACATTCGATTTGGGCACTTGAATTTTGAAGCGCTCAAATTAATGGGAGAAAAGAACATGGTGCATGGGATACCATCCCAATCAATTGTGTGAAGCTTGTCTTCTTGGAAAACATGCAAGGAGGAGTTTTCCAAAGGAGGCCATATCAAGATCAACCAATCCGCTCCAGCTTATTCACATTGATGTGTGTGGACCAATCAATCCACCTTCCTTTGGTAATAGTAAATACTTTCTGCTTTTCATTGATGACTTTAGCAGAAGGACTTGGGTTTATTTCTTAAACCAAAAATCTGAAGCTTTTGCTGCTTTTAAAATTTTTAAAGTACTTGTGAAGAAAGAAAGTGGCTATGAAATAAAAGCTTTAAGGTCTGATAGAGGAGGCGAATTCACTTCAAAAGAATTTAATACCTTCTGTCAGTCTTATGGAATTCGTCGCCCTTTAACAGTACCTTATTCACCCCAACAAAATGGAGTTGCAAAGAGAAAGAATCGAATGATTCTTAATATGGCTAGATGTATGTTGAAAGCGTATGCCCAAGGAATTTTGGGCGAAGCTGTTTCTTGTGCAGTTTATTAGAACAATAGGTCTCCAACAAGAAATGTTAGAGATCAAACCCCTCAAGAAGCATGGAGTGGAAGAAAGTCAAGTGTTAAGCACTTGAGAATATTTGGGAGCATAGCCTATGCTCATGTACCACAACAAGGGAGAGCGAAGCTTGACGATCGAAGTGTCAAGCATGTGTTTGTTGGCTATGATACGAGTTCAAAAGGCTACAAGTTATACAACCAAGTAGCGGTAAAGTGATGGTAAGTCGCGACGTTGAATTTGATGAAGAATTGGCATGGAATTGGGAAGCTCAGGAAGAAACTTCATATGATTTTCTTCCATACTTTGGTGATGAAGAAAAACCAGAGACCGTGGAACCTGTGCAAGATACAACTCCACCTCTTTCTCCAACCAATGTTGCATCTCCTTCTTCTGAAGAAAGTTCAAATGAACAGCCGCAAAGGACAATGAGTATTCAAGAGCTCTATCAGGACACAGAAGAAGTTACTAATTTTGATTTTTCATATTGTCTCTTTGCTGACAGTGAACCAATGAACTTTGATGAAGCTGTTACAGACAAAAGGTGGAGACAAGCCATGGAGGAGGAGATCGAGTCAATAGAGAAGAACAACACTTGGGAGTTAACAACTCTTCTTAAGGGTCATCGAGCAATTGGAGTAAAATGGGTATACAAGACAAAGAAGAATGTTGATAGATATGTGGAGAGATAAAGGCACGACTTATAGCTAAAGGCTACAAGCAAAGGCAAGGCATTGACTATGAAGAAGTCTATGCACCTGTTGCCCGCATGGAGACAATTCGTTGTTGATCTCTTTGGCGGCACAAATGAAGTGGAAGATCCATCAACTAGACGTCTAGTCAGCCTTCTTGAATGGCTATCTTGAAGAAGAAGTCTATGTTGAACAACCACTGGGATATATGGTTAAAAATCATGAAGATAAAGTGTTGCGGTTGAAGAAAGCTTTATATGGATTGAAGCAAGCCCCACGGGCATGGAATAGTTGCATCGAAAAGTATTTTCAAGACAATGGGTTTACTCGTTGTCTCCATGAATATGCTCTTTATCTTAAATTTCATACTAATGGAGATATCTTGCTAGTTTGTCTTTATGTTAATGATCTTATTTTTACGGGTAATAACCTATATTTGTTTGAAGCTTTTAAGAAAGATATGTCATGTGAGTTCGAAATGACAAATGTAGGGCTCATGTCGTACTACTTGGGCTTAGAAGTAAAGCAGTGGAGGATGGAATTTTTATCTCTCAAGAAAGCTAATAAAAGAGATATTGAAAAATTTCAACATGCTCGATTGCAACCCCGTGAACATGCCAA